CCTCCCTTTTCCAGGCCAGAGTCTCTGCAGAGACGCAAAAAGCAAGGCACCCCCTCTAGCCGCCCCTTGGCTCCCTCAGGACCCACCTCCTTCCAGGAAGCTTCTCAGGGAGGGAGACGGCAGCGGCTGGCTGGAGGATGGAGGAGGCCCGTCCCTCGCCTGGACCTGGCGAGGCTGGTCTCCCTCGGCCGTGGGCACTCAAAGCGGGCACGGTCTGGGGAGGACTTTGCCCGCCCGGCAGCTCCGAAACTGCTCGGAAGGACCGTCCCGGGAGAGGCGCCGAGGAATGCGGTTGTGCCTCAGCGGAAGGGACTCTGCACGTGCACCGAGACACTCCCGTCTCTGACAGACGCCACGGGCTGTGGAACAAGGAAAGCAAACAGAGATGTGGAGCGTGGCCTTGCCAAGGTCAGTAGTACCCCGTCCCACAGCAGTGAGTCAGCCCCCCCCCTTCCGCACCGAACCAGCACCCTCTTCCATGGGAGAAACGGCACGGAGGGGAGGGCAAGAAGTAGCCCCACATCCCCCCCCCCAAGATCCCTGGCCAATGCAAAGTCCTGACTAGAGCTATATGGGGCAGCGAGGGCAGGGGCGGGGGGGGGGAAGAGGGAGCAGGGATTTGGGAAAGGGAGCAGGTGGCCCTGTGCTCCCTACCATGGCGTGGGGTGGGGTGGGGTGGGTTCGGGTTAGGCCCGCTGGGAAGCAGAGCTAAAGGAGGGAACTCAAACCCCCCATGGGCACCCCACCCCCATCTGTGGGGCTTCCACCCCTTTTCCCTCTGAATGCTGAGGGTAGATTAACTCTCTCCACCTTGGCCTCCCACCCACCCCTCCCCGCCTTGAGGGGTTGCCAACAGATTAGCAAGTCCATTGATTAATTGGCCACATTTAATTGGTTAATCGATATGCCTACACCATTTAAATGTATTTCCATTCTCCAGCAGCTCGTTTTCAAAACAATTCTGAAAGACTGGGACCCTTCAGTCACTGCCCTTTCTCCCCTTTTCATTTAAAGTGGCCACAGTCTGATCTCTCCCTCTCTCTCTCTCTCTCTCTCTCACACACATACACACAGGTTCCTAGGTGGGCCAAGCCCGTCAGACTTAGCGACCCAGTTAAGCCGGTCCCGGGCC